CAATAATGTGCAAGTGTGGAGTGTCCCAAGTTTTTGTCATCGAATACCACCAGTAGTAATTTTTAATATTTAATATTTGGAAACTGAATGAGACTTGACTTGTTTTTGAAAAGATTTTTTGGACTTTAACGTCTTCAAATTTAAGGGAAGAGAATTCCAAAGTTTGGGTCCAGTAAAAGACAAGGAATGCTGACTCACGGATTTACTCATGAAAGGTACGAATAAATCAGAACTACTTCTTCGGTTGGAGGTATTTTTGACAAGTATGTCATTAAAGCAATTGGGCAGCGCATTATTATGGAAGTCGTGAGCTAGAGATAATATTTCAAATTTCATCATATCTTCAACCTTAAGTATATTTAGTGATTTGAAGTAAGAGTCTACACTTTCACGTTTTCTTTTACCAAAAACTATTCTTAAAAAATTATTACAAATACTCTGCAGTTTTGAGACAAGTGTTTTATTACCATGAAGCCAGACTGAACAACAATATCGAATATGGCTAAGTAGTAATGATTGAAACATTGCTAGTAGAGCTGATTGGTCAACACACTGGGATACTTTGGCAGAAACTGCTAGGTTTCTTTTTGTTTTACCAATAACATGCATTATTTGTGATTTCCATGACAGATTTTCATCAAAGATAACTCCTAGAAATTTTATTTCTTTCACTCTTTCAATTTCATTGCCATTGAGCAGTAGTTTTTTTGAACAACTCACAGTTTTATGCTTGCTTGGATGGAATAATACAAATTTAGTTTTGTTAGCATTCAGAGATAATTTATTAACTAACATCCAGCTATGAATGTTGGTTAGTTCTTGGTTTGCAACTGTGAATAGATCTTCAAGGTTTTCCCCATGAAGAATCAAGTTAGTGTCATCAGCAAACATGATCGACTCAGAGGATTTCAGACACCTGGACATGTCATTAATGTAAGCTAGAAAAAATAATGGGCCAAGTAAAGATCCTTGTGGAACTCCGTGCTTCATGACACAAATATTTGTAGAGAATGAGTTGTCATATTGCACAATTTGCTTCCTGTCTTGAAGGTAGCTCTTGATCCAATTGAATGGAACGCCTCTAATTCCATAGTGATAGAGCTTACTTAAGAGGATGGAATGGTCAATGGTGTCAAAAGCTTTTGAGATATCAAGAAATATTCCAATTGCATGTTGTTTGCATTCAAACGCATTGGTCAGTTTGTGTACCAAAACATTAGCAGCCATAGCAGTGGAGTGATGCTTGCGGAAACCAAATTGATGCGAGTGGAAAACATTGTTAGTTTCAAAGTAGTTTGACATTCTACTATACATTATTTTTTCAAGAATCTTAGAAAATGATGGTAAAAGACTAATAGGTCTATAGTTTCCAAGATCTGAAACACTACCTTTTTTAAACAGAGGAAGAACTTTGGATGTCTTGAAGCTTTCAATGAATAATCCACTAGATAGTGAAAGATTAAATATATATGTCAGGATATCAATAATATGTTCTGGAACATATTTCAATATTTTAAATGGAATACCATCGATTCCAAAGCTTGACTTGGGCTTCATATCGCGTATAATATTTTTTATTTCTAATGATGTAGCTGGCCTTAAGAACATGGATGAGGATTCTTGCTTCCCAAGATATGAAATGTAATTTTTGTCACAGCCAGCTGGTTGTGGCATACAGTCAAGCAGGCTTTGTGCCACTTGGGAAAAGTGTTCATTAAATTTATTTGCAGTTTGTGTATTACTGCAATCAAGTCCAATCAAAGGACAAGAATTTGTTTTATTTTTACCAATAAGCTCATTAATTGTTTTCCACACTGCCTTGATGTTGCCTTTGTGAGAAGCAAATTTAGATTTGTAATAATTTGATTCCTGCATTCATTGAACTGTAATTTGTGCTTGTCATTTATGTTTTTATTGTTTATTAATTTCTTATAAAGTTTTTGTTTGACTTTGTTGAGTTTGCGTAACTCAGTATCATACCAAGGTTTGTTTGATCTGTTTGTCTGTTTTTTGTAAGGAAAAGATTGAGAGTAAGCAGTGGAGAATTTTTCAAAAAATTTTTCAAAGCAAGTGTTGGGATCCTGGATGCTGCTGAAGTCATCAATATCAATAAAATTCAGTTCATTCTTAAACGTATTCAAGTTGGACGAAGTAAACTGGCGATAAAGCGTTTCAATTCTGGTCTGAATTTGCTTTTCTAGAAGAGAGCATTGTACAATCGGCAGATGATCAGAAACACATTCTGCTAAAACAGCACTGTTAATTTTTTTATCATATACGTTTGTCCAGATATGGTCTATACAGGTAGCAGAACTTGAAGTTATCCTGGTGGGGCAGTTTATCAAAGAATAATAGGCCAGGTTGTGCATAATATCAACAAATAGGCTGGTATTCATATTGGACTCATCAATAAGATTATAGTTGAAGTCACCCATTATATAATTATAATTCAACCTGTTCATCTTTGAGAGAACTTGGGACAAGAGATTCCGAAAGTTAGCATTGTTCAATTCATCAGTTAGTGGTGATCTATAAATAGTACCGCAGGTTATTGTTTTATTTTCCAATGATATGTCAATGAATATAGATTCAAAAACCTTTTCGCACATTATAGTAATATCTTTGCGGACAATGTATTTCAAATCATTTCGAATGTAGAGACCAACACCACCACCTCGGTGATGAGATCTACTATTAGAGATAAAAACATAGCCATCCAGTGCATTGAAATGGCCATTTGTACCAGATACAATCCATGTTTCATTTACAGCAATTACATGAGGCTTACAATTCAGTGAATTAACTAGTGCTTCAAATTTTGTGAAGTTTTTGAAAGAGGCTAAAGATCTGATATTGATGGAGAGAGTCATGAAACCACTTAGTTTAAGGCTGTCGTTGAATTTAAGGGCATTGACATCACTGGAGCAGATATATTGATTTGAGCAATTGTACAAGAAAACACTATCAATGTTGTTGAATTCATCAGTATCAGTATTTGCGGATTCAAGAAACATTTTGTTAAGGTATTCAGGATCAAGAATTTTGGCAAGTGCCTGAGCTTCAGCTTTTTCTGTATGAAGGGGAACAAATAACTCAGATATTTCAGAATCAGAGAGACAAGAGAATGGCATACAGTCTATTTCACAAAGGAAACAGCACCAAGGTATTTCATCAGCTTCAGATTCAAGATTTTCATATTTTTGTCCAGAAATATTGGTACATTTTAAATGTATCCAAGAAGAACAAATGTCACAATAAAGAGCTTTTTGATTGATTCGAACTGATTTGTGGCAATTTCTACATGGGTATTTTAAATTAGTTTTCATGGCAGTGGCACAACAAAATAAAGTAAAAAATAAAAATGAAAAAAAATAAGTTAAATATCTAGTCTGGCTATATAGGTTTCCAGATGTTTAAAAGATGGAGAACCATTGATTAGACAGCACTAGCCTATTCAAATAAGAAAAATGGAGATTATGAATGAGTTAATCGTTCCCCTCCGCTCATAGGCTACCGCTACGTCTTGAGGTTGGTCCCACTGAACGGGCAGCAGCCTTGGAGTAGAGGGGACGAGAGAGTGTAGTGATATCATTTGAGGAAGATATTACTCGCCTTTTATCTAGGTAAGCGTAGATAATCCCATTCATTGTGCTCACTTTTTGTTTTCCGAAGGCTTCCTTGGCAGCGCTGAGTAGCTTGAGCCTGCTACGGGTCAAGGACTCAGTGATGGACAATCCGCTGCCTTTGAGTTCTTTTTTTCTACCATACACCATATTCTTCGTTGATCTTCTGACGAATTTGATGATGATGGGGTTCTTCGGAGATCTTGATTTTAATTTGTGAGTAATATCAATGTCAGTGTTCACAATAGGATGGTTGGGTTTAAGGCTGTCGTTGAGAGTTTTCACTACAAAGTCTTCGAACTTATGGTATTCAGTTTCTGGCACAGAACTACAGCCATGGAGAATCACACAGTTTCTTCGGCTGTATTGTTCTAAATCGTCCTGTTGCTTTTCACAAGTCTCCAGCCTGCTAATAATCTCCTGGATCTTGGAGGAGATTTGAGCCACGTCATTCTGGAACTTAATGATGTCCTGGGACTGGTTGCCATGGTCTTTAGAGGCAGATAATAGAGTTGCATGTGACATTAGCTCCTCTTGCTTGGCCTGGAGAGATGAGATAGCAAAGCATATAGTCTATAGCATATAGTCATAGCATATAGTCTACCGGTACCGGTACTGGTACCTACTGTAATAGCGCCATAAAACCATGGCAAGAAACGGTTCGTTAGTGGCCGGAGCTGCCATGCAGTGGTACGGTACCGGTAATCTACGGTACTGCGCCTCTGGTTTTATGGAGAACCTTGGATGCAAAGATCGGATAAGTATCCTACCGTAACCCGTACTGTTACGGTACCGTACCTTCAGACCTTACCGGTACCGTACCGTACTGCCTTATGGTACGGTACCGGTACAAGCTTACATGACCTGCTTTCATTGTTGTGAAACTGTGTGTTTCAAGAAGTTATCATTTTTTTGAGTGGGCCTACCGGCTGACCGGTAGGCCTATATTATATTGAGCAATTAACCTGATACCGGTACCTTAACGTTATATTATTGATACAGAAGTCAGAAGTATTGTCATTTCCAAACCAAAAGACAGATTTTTTCAATGTAGACCACTGTTTCCCAACCTATCGGTCACAACTCAAAACTGTGTCGCCTGCAAATTTTCTGGGTCTCGTGTAGTTTCGTACCTAACGTCTGAACGTACGGTACTTCTAGTAGGTGTAGCATAACAATTTTTTGTCACTGTGACGTCGTAGTGACGTAATTTTTGGATGGTAGGGTCAGGTGGGGACTAGGATTGACATGTGAAGAAATTGTTATGCTACGCCTACTAGAGTACGAAACTACATGAGACCCAATTTTCTTTGGTTGCTTGTTTTTTCAACAAAAACCTAAAATTGTAAAATGTATCAATTTTATTTTCTAGTGAATTTTATTGTTTATTTTATATTTGGTATTGAGGTGTTGCCCGATAGTATATGTAATATAATAATATATATATTTGTATATGCAGGAAGTAGGCTATCAATTTGTAAAAACTTGGCAACTTTCATTTTGCTCGGTAAAGCCACAGCACCATTTCAAAATATTGCTGATGGCAAACAAGCGCTGGCTTGTGTGTGAAATGTTGTGTAAAAATTTTGTTTAATACTAGTCATTAAGTTTGCGATCATAAAAATACCGTATTACAAGCATCCCCCGAAATCTAGCAAACAATTTTTCTCGTCGTCCGTCCACTTGTAAGCCACGCCCACTAGAAGTTATTCAGGTAAGAAACTACACGAGACCCAGCGTATGGGTTGGAGATTAATTTGTGCCGGTATCGACAGTTGAATATTCATGGTCTATTATCACCTTATTACAGATAAAGGGATGACCTTAAATGGCTCAAGGTGTTAATTAATTCAAAGAAATGTATTTGTACATAGTCAGTAATATGACGTTGAATTAGTGCTGTAGTGATGATAGGTAAAAAAGATAGGCAGTTACTTGTTTTCTAGGTATATGACTTTCTTGTGCGTACTGTTTTGGCCTAGCTTAGAGAGATGATTTTGACATTCAGACATTGGGCGTCAAATAAAATAAAATACTGTTAATGTAATTCGAAATAAAAACATTCATGACAGAAAAAGATTGATATTGCCTGTGTCTCTCAAAGTTGATTGAAATTAAATTGAATATATTTGAGCGATGTTTAGCTCACTTGATTAGTTTATGAAACTTTTAAAATATATTTCGCATGTAATCCTTTTTAACACCGTAATATTTTTGTTTGTCCATAAACCGAAAAGTATTTTTAAAGCATTGTAAAAAGGTAGTTGCGAACGAACATTGCTACTTTTATTTGCAATTCAGAAATTATCTGAATGTTTTTATTTTTTGGTAGTATTAGAAAGTATACTGACAAAGAGTATTGTATGATTCATGTTACTTAGTGAACTCTAATCCTTTTTAATAGTCCATCCCTTATATTGTGGAATTTTGAATATTATGAAACAGAAAATATTAACTATGCTAAAAAAGAAAAAATATTGATTTAAATATGATAAACTGGAATAAGGCTGTGAAACCGCTGTTAGGCGGGCCTCTAGCCTCCCCTCCATCTGGTTTCACAACGGAAGATTTGAATGCGGTGATTCGTGCTGTGAATGTAAATGCTGAAAAGATACTGGATCATGAGTCTAAATATGAATGCTTCTTTTCTTCATATGTCGCATTGGTTGGCCATTACATTGCAAATTCATTTGACAAAGTTCAGAAGTCTTTGTTCCATGAGTTTACAGCTGCATGTGAGTTGTTATTAAAGTTTTGTCTTCAGCGACTACAAAATTTTGATGTGCATTGTGCTGTTCCACAAAAGAATTTGATGCAACTGATTTCTGCGCTATGTCTCGGCTCTACACCCTTCGTTCGAGTGGATGTCATCACATTCACTGCTATGCTGAAGTCTGCAGAACTACCTATGATTGTTCAAAAAGCTGATTCTGATGCCGATGTAAATTCACAATCATCTCAAGATCAACCTTCTGGTTCAGCATTCATTGAACAAATGTCTATAGCATTTGAAGTACATGCTTCTGGAATTTCTGTGACTAAATCAGGTAAAAATGTTGACATGTCAGTGATACTGAAAGAAAATGTTGCCAGCTTATCCCGTCTTACAAGGAATGATAATTTTGCCCAAGTTTATAAGAATCTTTCATATCTAAAAAGATATGTGAACAGATTTGCTGATTTGAAGAAAGGAAAACCCTTGGTTCTGCCTGATTCTGTAAGTTCCGCATTGACCATACGAAACGGTCTTGGACCTCTTGCTAGTAATATCAGCATTGTTCTTCAAGCCATATCTTTGCCAATGACTGATGCTCTAACAACAGAAAAAATTGAAAACTTGTCCAAACTTAGTTTAAGTTGTATTTATGCTGGTCTGTCTGTTGCAACAGCAATGACCTTGATATCTGAGGAAGGCAAAACTGCAAACATTTCAAGTTCTGCTACAGCCTCGTCTAGTAGTAAAGGGAAAGAGCCTGATTATGAATCAATTGCTGATACCATCATATATGAAGCATTTGAAATTTACACCAAAACTGAAGAAATTTTAACATCAAGATATAGTTCTTCCCACGTTTTACCAAATTTTCAGATGATGGCTGCTTACATACTTTCACAAGGACTGTCTGTTATACTGCAACAGCATGGTACCATTGCGAAAGAGAAAGGTCATAGCAAGACTGATAAACAAACCATACCCGGAATTTTCACTTTAGCTTTGGCTGTCACTCTAACTGAAATTATGGAAAAGTTAATGGATAATTCTGATTTCGAAGATATTGTAGAACAGTGGGATTCGTTTAGTTTTTCTACTGAAGTTCTTGACATCAATGCTTCAAATAATGGATTTTCAAGGTTGGCTGTACTTACAGAGAAATGTGATATTCTTTCATTACTGATCAACATACTGCATTTGTACTACGAAAATTCTAGTGGTAAAACGACAGAGAAGGTGTCACGAAAAGATACCACGACTGCTGATGATTCTGGAGCGTCTGATGATGAAAACAATCACGACAGAACCTTCGACATTATGGACGGTTCTGAAACAGATTATTCATCATTTGATGAGGATGTGCCGAATGGAAGTTTTGGATTTACTGGTGGTCCACTATTTGGTGAATGGTTCATAAGAGTTTTAAACGAGCCAGGGAGTGATGAAATTGCAGATGAACCAATGCAGTTCGAAATGTCACTACCCGATGCACGGAGCACAAGAAAATTCATGTTGCCAGAAGAAGCTCTTGTCAAAAATGATTCATTAAATGGATTCTTACAGAAAGCTAAAATCTCAGAACTGTTGAGTAATGTCATCAGCTTGATTGATAATAAATTTGTGTCTTCAAAAACTGTGTGTATAAAAACATATGTACATCGTCATGTCAAAGTTGGATCTGTGGAAAAATTGATTGGTTTTTTAAACAGATTGGATGCATCACATAAGAATAATCAATTGTTGATGCGGTTGTTACATAACCTACTCTCTTCCGATCTTGTCAATGAGGAGATTGAGGAGGCTATTCTAAAAGCTCTCAAATTGGATACACCTGTCAAGCAGTTGTTTGCAGACTCGAAATCGTTGTCAATTTTGTTCAAAATTTTATTTAAGCACCAATTGGCAGAAAGAAAAGAGGGCAAGGATCACCAAAAAACCGTTGATTTTATCCAGAATCTGGTTGAATATTATCAAAATCCGGAAACAGGAGCTAATGGAATCATTAAGGATGTGGACGTGACAATTTTTCAAATGTGCTTATTTCTCTTTCACATGGTATCGGCCTCTGCACAAAGGAATTTCTTAAAATCTGTGATTCATGCATTGACACGTTGTAATGAAGTAGAAAAACTTCCTATTGCTACATCACGCTTTGTCTTGCTATTAGAATATCTCTTGCACCACTATTTATCTCCTTCAAAACAACTTTTTGCTCATACTCAGTGGAATTTAATTACTGTGCATTTGGAACCTGATGCTGCTGACACCAGTAATTTGGGATTTGTTGCACTCGGAGGTTCTGATTCTTGCAAAGCATTCTCGCCATTTTTGAGTAGTATTCAACCTAGTAGCGATTCTCAAACCAAGCCCACCAGTGACACTGAGACGGACAATACCAAATGTAATGATTTTTTTGACGAAATGTTTTTTGAAGTTAGTGATTTGGGAATATCGGGTGTGGATAAAACTGCTGTGGAAGTTCTTAACAGCTGTGATATATCAGCTGATAATCTTTATAAAATTGTCTTTTCTGCCATGAATGCAGGTGGTAAGTTAAAGCTTGCCTTTTGTGGCGATGAAAAATATGTGGACGAAAGAATGCCTGAATTAATGAAGCGGTTTCTTGTATACAATTTTCAAATTACTTGGAGATTGCACAAAAAGATCATGCCACTGTTGCTTGAGGATAGTAATGAAACAACATCACAAGACCTGTCTTATTTTCTGATAGCGGCACATTCTTTCGGGTTCATGCTCAATAAAAATTTCACAGGTATACCGAAGGAAAATGCATTCGATGAGTTTGCAGCGCTACTCCAACAATTTGTAAGCAATCATTTTGCATATGAAGTGGATGGCAATATTGTTCCCAAAAGTGCATTTCCATCTTTCACAGAAATTATGGTATTAGATTGCCTGCTGCATGAAGTAATAAACACCATTGGAAGACAAGAAGAAAATTTTGAGACACCCCCAACACTATTATTTCCAACAGTCATGAAAGTGATGAAGCTGTTACGATTTGTCTGCCGCTCGTACGTTATGCATGCAAGTAGAGAGCCAGAAGAGTCATTCGATTTGTACTCATCGGTTATGGAAACTGATGTTGCTGGGTTAAAACTCATTGAAGGTAATTTGTTGAGTAGTGTAAACTTTCCTGAAATGCCCAAGTCTTTGGACTCTGAAATTAGCAAGTGGGATTCGCAATCTCGATCAAGAATAGCTGGAGACACAAAAAATGAAAACATTAATACAGAAAACGTTTTTACAAGCTATTTAAAAGCTCTCCAAAGCAAAAATCCGTACTTAACAATTTTACAATATCTTGCTGAAACTGTTCACCAAACTCTGGCAAAATTGTCTTTATGTGATGATGTAGGTAACAAGTCTAGTGACGTTTCTTCCTACAGAGAATTATTGCAGATTGTTACTGATACTCTAATGAGTAGATTTACTGACACCAAGTCACTTGGACAGGACCCCACTTCTGAAAAATTTAAAGAGACTGTTTGGTATCACGTCATCCACCAGATCTATGATTTCATCATCAACATGAATGCGAAGAGTGAAATAGAGGAGAGGAAATATTCAACTGCATTTTTGTCTTTCCTAGAACAATTTCTTTCTCAAGAAAATTCGTCTCACATGAAAAAGGCCATGCATCATTTCTTCATATCCTCAAAAGAGGAAAAAGATGTCCTCACAAAAAAAGATCCCAAATCCCCACTAACAGCATACAGTGGTATACAATTTAAATATTCAGGAGATTTTGTTGCATTACTTCTTTGTAGTACACCTAATCAAAAGCTCTATAACCATGCGCTATTCAGTCTCATATGCAAAATGTTTGATGGAATTATCGGTAAAACACCTGATCCTCTCCTAATCCCTATCATTGCTGAAATGAATAAGCTTGAGTCTTTACCACAAATGGAATTTGACAAATGGTTGACAACCTTCAAATCATTTCTTCTGGATTCATCTAAAGGTGAGCAATGATTTCGTGTGTGTGGTATATCCTCGATTATTTTTAAAGTTATTGGAACTGAACTGAATATAGCAGAACTTGAAACTGTTATTAACAATTATAATGTATCAACATTTTTGTGTTCCAAATGGTGATCTTGGACTTATTTGCATGATTCAACACAAAGTTTACTATATATTTTACTTAAAAGAAATTTTTTTTAGTTTTCTTTTTGCTTTGACCGCTGGCTTTCATGTACCACAAAACTAAATTAATGCTGATATGCTATATAATCTACTTCAAAACGGAGTGATCAATGTGGTGTACGAATATGCGTTTTAAAATTATCAGACAATTAGTTATCAAAATCACCGCAATATTGTAGGAAATGGTATATTCTGAACAGTAATTCAAATTGTCTTTAAATGTCCCAAGTCAAAAAATTGTAATTTATAATTTTGAAACCCAATTTCAGTGTAATCATATTTTATTCATGATACTCTCTATTTTTACAGATTCTTCAAAAAAAGCTGATATTTCATTGAAACTAGCACGTTTCATGTCCCATACGGAGTCACCTGTCAATCACACTCTTGCTTTGAAAATATTGGAAGCTTCAATGGTTGATGTAGAATCCCATATAGAAAGTGATTCCATCACTGATTTCTTAGCAATATTGATGAGTTTAGCAGAGGCAAAAGAAGGACAAGGCCACGACAAGCTTTTCAAAAGTGCTCAGATGGCTCAAGCTTTGCAGAGAAGAAATGCAAACTTATGACAAAATGAATGAACTGACTAAAGAACAGATGAATGTTGTAAATGTATGTGAGCTCATTCTTTTTTATATAATGGATGTTCTTCTGGTTCTTCATGAGATAGAAGCTGAAGATCAATATTGCAGCGAATATGAAGATGATTTAGTGATACATGACAATGAAAATACAGTGGAAATGGACAAACCAAACGTCCAACCTGTTTTAGACTACGACCCAACAGAAGCAGAGGATATGTCTAGTAAACTGTGCACATATACAGTCACCCAAAAGGAATTTATGAACCAGCATTGGTACCATTGTCATACATGTGAAATGACTGAGGGAATTGGTGTTTGCACTATTTGTGCAAAAGTATGCCATAAAGGTCATGATCTTGCTTATGCAAAGTATGGATCTTTTTTCTGCGACTGCGGAGCTAAAGGTAGTAAGGCCTGTAAAGCTTTAACAAAGCGAGACCAGGTAATCGAAAATTCTTCAGAAAGAATTCTATCAGCTTCCTCCTCCAGTACAACTGTTGTTCCATCTGCATCATCCTCCATGACTTCTCTGCAGTCTAAAAAGATTCTGTCTGCTGGAGCCAGTGCTACTTTCGTTGATTCTACAGCCAAAACAGCATCTGCATCTGGTGAATCTGAAGAAAAATCGAGGCGACATAAACGACAAAAGAGATGAAATTGTGTAAAAATTTGGATGGATGTAGAAATGAGATCTTACATTACCTGAGCACTGATGATGGAAAAGAACAATGTGTCGGACTTCTGTTAGATGTTATTTCTGATTTGGAAAAGATTGTTGAAGGAAGTGAATATAGATCGGTCACACCCAATAGCACAGCTTACGCTCGACAAATGATGTCAAAGCTTCATGAGACGGACAAGATAACGTTGACTGTTGAAACTCTACTGGTCCCTACTCTTGGATCTCAAGAAGGTGCTTTTGAGAATGTAAAAGCAAATTTTACTGGTGAGCAGGGACAAACTATCAGACAATTGATCAATACACAGATGATTTCAAGAGTTGCCATGAGCTGTTTGTCATCTGGTTCTGGCCGACGACATCATCTGGCTGTTAGTCATGAAAAAACTAAGCTTACTATTCTGCAACTTTCTGCTCTCTTGAAGCAAGCTGATGCCAGTAAGCGGAAATTAACACTTACCAGACTTTCAACTACTCAAATACCATTTACTATAGTTACCTTGGCAAACAATCCATGTAATGAAGAAGTATTAGCTGTCTGTGGATTGAAGGATTGCCATATTCTAACATTCACATCTTTGGGAACAGTGAATGACCATTTGACTCTTCACCCACAGCTTTCTGCTGGCAATTACATCATAAAAGCGCTGTGGCTCCCAGGATCTACCAGCGAGATTGCTCTCATTACTGCTAAGTTTGTGAAAATATACGATTTGTCAAAAGATGTTCTATCACCTTCGTTCTATTTTCTAATTCCCACCGGAAAAATCAGAGATGCGACTTTTATGACACCATCTAGTGGTGAAGATTCTGTTCCGTGGCTTGTTATTATGTCATCTTCTGGTTATATGTATCACCAGCCATTGTATGAGTTTTGTTCGGCTACTCATGGACCTTTCTACATCACTGGAACCCTGTCTATTGTTGATGATAGTCTTAAAGAGAAAAACGATCAAGTTGGTTCTGGTGGAGTATCGTTTACTATTCTCACACCTTACAATTGCTTTTTTTCAGCTATGGAAATGGCAAAAATTTTGCTGCAACTTAGATGTCAAAGCAGAAAAGGCATTGAAATTATTTACTATTGCATTTAAAGCTACAAATGGAAAAGCAAGTAATGGTTCCAGTTTGGCCTTATTTTCTTGGAATGAAGTAACAAGCCATCCTGGCCTAATGACGTGCTTTGTATATAGCACTGGTGTTCCGGTGACTTTATTAGTCGATCCCGATTGTATTCGGTTGCAGGTAATGAAAACAACAACATGCAAAGCCAGAATTCAAGATCTCGTTGCTGTACGACATTCATCATGGGTGAGTGATGGAGATAGATCCACATTGATTGCTTTATGCGAAGATGGCTCTTTGAGAATTTATTTAGCAAATCAAGAAACCACTGGTTTCTGGCTACATCCTAATCTACAGCCAAAATCAGTATTTGCTCGAAAAAAAAGTGAAGGTAAAGGTGTACAGAAGAATTCGTCTGCTGATAGTGCCAAGGCAAAAGAACAAGATCAAATAGAGCCAATATTTCCCGTTGATTTCTTTGAAGACTGTCAGCTTATCCCGTCAAATGACTTGGAATTCGGTGGGGAATCATTGCTTCAAGTGTATAATCCAAACCAAATCAAGAACAGATTGGCAAATCAGGACATGTATATTGTATCAAAACAGACATTTGGTATTGAAGTTACCATTAAAAATAAAAATATGGTTGTTACTGGCATCAGAATGCAACTTGGCAACCGCGGCAGTGATTTTGCACCTACACATATTTACATTGAGGATCGATATATATCTTTGGGACCACGGCTGAAAAAACCTAGATGGTTTGATTTCCCACTTACACGTGAAGAGTCCATTCGAAATCAAAGTAAACTTGTGATTGTTTGTGGGTCTTCAGTTCACCCGGATGACTATAATATAGTCGATAGTATTAAAGTCTATGGGAAAACTAAAGAAAATTTTGGTTGGCAAGAAGAAGAGGCCAAAGCTGTTGCAGCTTCGGTAGAAGCTCGTGAAAAAGCGAAAGCGACTAAGGGTGGAAAATCACAAGAAAAATTGGATCATGAACAATCAAGTGACGGGCCTTCAAACCAGCTTAAATTTTCACAGGCATCAGATAGTGATGGATATTCTAGCCCTACAGATAAATTACTGCTGGCATGCCTGGCTTCATTGAATTGTACTTTTGCACAAGGTTCTGATATGGGATGCATAAATGAGAAATTAAAATCTAATGCTTTGAAGTTGGCGTCCAAACTTATTGTACAGGATGTTCCACACTCCGTCCACAGACATGTCAAACAATTGATGATGAACTTGCTTCCAGTAACGGATGAATATCACAAATTCAAAGATGGCACTATTCTAAAGCATATATCAGATACATTGAAAAACAGAAAAGTTATTGAAACTCTAGATAATAATTCGGATGATAAAGGTCAAACCAAATGGAATCTACGCTCTGATGAGTTTCAAATTTTATTAATGGAACTTAGTCGCATTTCGGTTCGAAGACCCAACAATCTTTTGTCGCAATTAGAGAATGAAGATGCGTCTGTTCAAAATGATGACACCAGCCAAGTGATTGTGACACCATCTCCCATTAATGATCATTACTGCACACATATGCAGGATTTAATGGATATACTCTTGCAAATGATCAATGAAAAACCCAAGCATAGATCGTTGAATCCATTTTGCTTACCTGGCATTCAGCACATCGAGTCATCTGTACAAGCTTATGTTGACATTGTTCATGCGATACCAATGATTCTTCCATCGGCCATTGGCAAAGCATCCCAGATTTATTACGATCTTTTAACAAGTAAATATGTACAAGTGAGTTCGGCTGCTAGGTCTGCTTTAATACGCCTTCTGTATTGTGCACCACCGTCTCAACGTCCTAAGCCTAGATCTGTGCGCAGCAATAGTAAATCCACCGATACTGCTCCCAGTACAAGGTCAAATTCACCGCCATCTACAATGTCTAATCAAGCTGTTGCAACGGCTTCTGGAAGTGGTGGTGTTCTGGTGCTGACCTCAGATCAGGCTAATCAAATTCATCAGCCACATACTTCTTATATAAGAACCCAAGAGGAACGAGCAGAATTGATGAATGATGAAGATGAAGACGACGATGATGATGACGACGACGATGATTCTGATGGTGATATGTTTGATGATGATGACGTAGCTATGGAAGAAGAAATGATGATGGAGCAACGAGGCAATGGTATTGCACCATCATTGAACAGAGAGGAACAATTACGGGCCATGCAAGCGCTTGAAGAAAACATGAACCAAGCTCAAATCAGTTCATCCAGTTCACAAAACGAAGAAAATGAAAATGAAGCTCCTCCTGTGGTTCAGCCGCAACAAAATGCCTCGGAGGTTCAAAGTCAAATGCAAAGATTACATGATTTAATGCAAGCTCCTGAAAATCCAAATTACTTTATGCAGGAAGATAACTCAAGCTTAGAAGAAATGATCATGGATGTTCAAGATGAAGAATTTCCTGGTTTTGAAGGCGACGATGAAGCAATGGTGGAATATGCTATTGCCCTCAGTTTGCAGCAATCTGGAGGTGAACAACAAAGCGCGCAACAACCCAGTGGGAATGAGAGTGTGGGCAGTCAAGCCTTGGAACAATTACTTCAAGTCATGAACTCAGAAGCACAACAAAATCAAGTTGAGGTTCATCATCCAATTCAAGAACAAGTTTCAAGTTCTGTAGCTGATACATTGCCTTCTCAAAATGTAGATGCAGTGGATTATGCGGCACCTGAAGAAGAAATTGTAAATGTGTCAGCCAATCAGAATATAGTTGAATTTCATCCTCCAGGAGAAGACTCTGAAGATAAAAATGCAGCAGGCTCAATAGAAAATGACATACCAGACATTATGTCCGAGGTTGTTAACGTACCTTCTGAAGTGGATGCACAGCCTTTTGATTTTGAAAAAATTGGCAACATGCGAGCCAAACTTCTTGACGAGCTTATTTCAAGGCTTCCTGAGATTCTTCTGCTCGAAAAGGGTGATCAATCTATTCCATACTTCCAAGTCCTTATAACACTAACAAAACTTCTTGATCCAACCAAGGAAGCACAAATGATTGTATTGGAAAAAGTTATCTCTGGATTGGCAGCTAACATAAATGGTGAAAATCACAATGAATCACTAAACAAAATATCTGAAAGATCTGCTTTGAAGGAAATATTGAGCAACATAATTCGATGTTTGGTCATTTTGATGTCTGGCCATACTCGCTATGATACAGCAGTTAACAATGATTCAGACAAACTTGTTGATTTGGACGATATGGATAAACAGCCAACAACTATAAGCGGAATAACTGCAAAAATATTAGTTGAAAAAAATGTGATTGGAGTCTGTATATCACTATTGAATGATATACTTCAGCAACATTGGAGTTTGACTCTGGAGAAAAACAAAGTCGACGCAGTGGTCTTAACAAAATTACTCAAACCTATACCTACTTCCCCTATACCTGACTATTCTCCCATTATTTCTCCCCAATATGTTAAAGCTCATTCGTCAGACATCTTTGGCGCATATGTTGAAATGATGACAGAAAGGCTTTTGCATCTCCCTTATCGTTTCAAAAAATACTATGACACTGAGAAAATGTCGTTACCTGAAAATCTGAAACATCATTTTGCAGTCATACCTCCTGATGATACTAGCTTTTGTTGGATTTTATCTGATTACATGCTTTCTACTGATATTCCAGTGATAAAAAAGAGTCAGAAAATTGTTGTCGTATCTCTGTGGAACAAAAGAAAATTACAGAGAAGTGAGAGATATTCATGCATTAACAAGATATATTGAAACCATAACAGAGACTTGGGAGAAAGCAGATGGATTAAGCAAGCTTGGAACACTGTCAATTTTCCGTATGATTTGCTCATTTCAATCGTTACATACCTTGAAGCGTGTTCTGCGTTGCTACCAAGCGAACAAAATTGGCAGAAGTTTTGTTTGAGCATTAACAAGTCATGCATGAAATTTCTCTTGAACTCAGTATTTACGTCAGTGAAAATGTTGCCACCTCTATTTTGCAGTTGCTCATATGTGCAGTGAGTGTGAAAGACAAAAAGTCTGATGCTATCAAAAAAGATGTAAAATCAACAAAAACTACAGCCAAGACCTCAAGCAAGACACCTCTGCTAAATGCATCCACTTCTGATAGAATTTCAACTGCTGGAAATGCAGAAATGGCTGCCAAATTATCGCAAAAATTTTTGACTGAAATAGACCAAAAGTGCTTGCATGCTTTTTTGCTTCGATTCATGTTAGAAATCAACACAACATCTGTACGCTGGAGTGCCCACGAATTTCTACTACAACTCTTCAGAAATTGTGACGCTGAACTCCGAACTAAACTAGTCAATTCCATGTGGCTGTTATGGCCTGCAGTTCCAGAATATGGACGTAAAGCTATTCAGTTCGTTGACTTACTCGGTTATCTATCAATTGAAAATGGCTTGGACCCTGAGAAATCTGAACTTTTTACAGATGCTGCTTTTGGCATGTTGAAGAAACAAAACTTACTTTTGACCAGCCATTCAAATTCAATGTTATACATGCAATTGTCGAATTATGTCGATTTTGAGGGATACTATCTAGAAAGCAATCCTTGCTTAATCTGTAATCAACCTGAAATACCGTTTTCTTCCATCAAATTGTCTAGTATAAAGTCAGATACAAAGTACACTACAACCCAGCAAATAATAAAACTTGTTGGTAGTTACAGTCTTCAAAAAGTCACATTAAAATTACTGATATCAAACAAACAAAGATGATTCGAACTGTCACGCTACTATACAACAACAAAAAAGTTCCTGCAATTATTGAACTAAAAAACAAGCCGGAATTGTGGCACAAAGCCAAGCAAGTTGTTTTATCCCAGGGTCAAAATGAAGTGAAGTTTGATCTACCTTTGCCAGTTGTTGCTACGAATCTGATGTTAGAATTTTCCGACTTTTATGAAAATGTTTCAGCAACCACAGAGACCCTGCAGTGTCCAAGGTGCAGTGCATCTGTTCAAGCAAACCCTGGTATATGTGGAAATTGTGGAGAAAATGTTTTTCAATGTCATAAGTGCAGAAGCATCAACTATGATGAAAAGGATCCATTTTTGTGTAATGTGTGTGGATTTCAAAGCATGCAAAATTTGACATTACTTTGTTGGCAAAACCATGCTGTGCCGTTGATACAATTGAAAATGAAGAAGATAGAAAAAGACGGTTGGGGTTGTATCAGTTCTTTTGGAAAAAGCAGACCTTGCATATTACCAGATGCTTGCGTACAAACCTGACTTGGAACATCTCTTGCTTCATATAGAGAAATTAACTACAGAACCACTTCGAGCTAGTGCAAAGTCTGTAACAACCTCATCAAGTACATCACAGATTGGCCCTGTTGGAACACGAATACCTGTTCTGTCAGCTCAACCGGTTGCGCTTCCTCCAGGAGTAAGCGTAGTAACTGCATCAGGACTAGGATCTGGCGTTAATATCCACATTCGGCAGCTGGCACAAAAATATTGTTTTGAAGCAAAGAATTCATTCGATGAACTATCTAAAATAATGAAAACGTTTTGGCATCCAGAAAAGAAATTGTTGAATATGATCAGAGACAGACAGCTGCAATTCTGGCAATAAAGGTCTGGTGAATAATGATCATAATGCTTTGTCCTCCAGTTCATCAAGTGTGAGTGCGAAAAATTGTTATGGATGTGCAGCATCAACTGCAAAACAGTGCATCATTCTTCTCCGAGCCCTCGCAACTGACAAAACATCACGAAAACGTCTTGTAAATAATGGCTTAATTGCTGAACTAGTTCATATCAGCTTAAAACGAGGGAACTCAAAAGCTAGGAAACAGGTGCAAGAATTGATTGGCCAACTCGTTAAGAATGATCCTGAGGCATCTGCAGAACTCAGCAACATATTACTCACAAGAATAATGTCTGCGATGATGCATCATAAACAAGATCTGTTCCCAGCTGCTGTGTCTTCAGAGATGAATCTCCTTGTTTCAATGCTGGGAATACAAGACCAGTGTTGGCAAGTAAGACTCAGAACTGTGGTGCAGTTATTCCAACTATCAATTAATATGCAATCACCAGCTATCGTTGAGAGCATCACTTTGCCTTGTTTAAAAATGCTACAAAGTAAGGCTGCACCCGCAGTGCCAGCTATTTCTTCTAAATTGATAAAAATTGCTAAAAATGCACAAGAAGTAACAGTCAATGCACAAGGTTGGATTGCTTCTGAAAAAGATCAGGATTTTTCAGTGTGGAAAGAAAATAAGCTGAAATTTGGTGCCATTAATACTTCAGAAGACTTGACGAAAGCATCTAAATCAGAAGTTCGTGACATGCATCTCATGGAGAAGTATGCTACAAAATGGAGAAAATATGTTATTGCGAAAAAGCTTGAAAAATCAGATATTCCCCATGTTATTCCACAACATCGATGGCTACGGCAAATGCTCTTTTGTAAATCTTCAAGAGCAGTACGCCAAGCTGCATGCAGTATTGTGAAAAGTTTAGCTGAAAATCAAAGTCGCAAAGCACAAGTTATTAGATATGCTTACTAGTTGCTTGGATGAATGAGTTCTGCTGGAGAGGCTGCTGCAGAATTCTTTTTGATGTATCAAGACTTATACATGACCCTCAATGGAAAGTCTATCTTGCTGGACGTGATATCCTTCCCTTTATTGGAGACTCATTGATGCGAAATTGCAAATTTGCGCAAATTGGAGGAGACTACATTAATGCTTGATTTACAACAAGGATATTCCATTGAAAGAACTGACCGAACTGCTTTCAGAATTAGTCCATGTTGACTACATTCGACAGCACCACAAGAGCAACCTAGTAGGAACTGTTTTGAATGGATATCTCAGCTTGAGAAAACTTGTCATTCAAAGAACGTCTATCATAGACGATACACAAGAACTTTTGCTTGAACTTCTTGAGGACATGACTACTGGAACAGAGTCGGAAACCAAAGCTTTCATGGCAGTGTGTATTGAAACCATCAACAAATATGAGCTCTCTGATATTCGTACCCCTCAATTTATATTGAACGTTTGGCAAATATTATCTTCCCGGAAGAGAACAATACAAATGAATTCTTTCTCTCTCTTGACAAAGATCCTTTACAGGAAGATTTCCTTCAAGGAGAATGGTTGGAAACCTTACTCTAGTAATGAACCTGGTTTGGGTCCAGTTATGCGTGATGTCAAAAACAAGATTTGTCGAGATTGTGATCTGTAGCTTTACTTGAAGATGATAATGGTATGGAACTACTTGTCAACAACAAAATAATAAGTCTTGATTTATCTGTGAGAGATGTTTACAACAAAGTGTGGTTACCATCACATAGTGAGGAAGAAGCGATGAGAGTTGTTTACAGAATGAGAGGACTTCTTGGCGAAGCAACTGAAGATATTATCGACAAACTAGACCCGGAAGTCGACAATCGGGATGAGGAAGAAGTTTATAGAATGTCTTCTGTATTGAGCTCTTGTGGTGGAATTGAATCAATGTTACAAAGACTGGAATCTGTTCAAAACTTAACTCATGGTAGACAAACTTGTTGTAGCAATTATGAAACTGATGACTTATGTTGTCCGTCTGAAATCGAACCGAAAATACTTAATGAAACAAGAATTGAAACACATTAAATGTATACTTGGAACCTTAAATTTGGGATTGCAAAGTGGTGAGGAAGGAGTACCATTGGTAGAACAACTACTTCAAGTTATGGACAGAGTGTTGCAAGAAACATCTGATGACAAGACTGAATTTGTTACTGGTGATAAGGAAAAATTGACATTATTGCTTCAACAAATTGATAGTGAAGTTGTACGACATCATTCAAAAATTCTTAGAGGGCTGATGCGTATTATACCATTCCTATCATTTGGGGATACTGACTTGATGCAAATGCTCATTGATCACTTTAAATCTGCTTTGGAATATGAAAAGTTTGATGAAAATCACACAGCTGAAGATGCGGTATATTTAGATTGCTTCTGTGAAATCAGCACAGGGATCGAAGACAATGAACATGGTGACGAACTGAAAAATTTAATAATAAAAAATGGTATTGTCAATAACACACTTGCATACATCAGCCGCTATGTTCCTCAACATAAAAAGTTTGAATCAGAAGATTGGAAAGCATTTGTTTCTCGACCTGCTCTGACATATTGTTTGCGTCTTCTTGCAGGCCTTAGCGCGAAGCATACCGCAACACAAGCATTATTGGACAAACTAGTATACCCGATCTTCATCGCTTAGAACAAGTTTCCACTCAAGAAAGCATAGGCTCACTTGCAGAAAATGTACTTGAAGCCATCAGTGAGAATCCAGATGTTGCTAAAACATAAAAGAAGTTCGTCGAGAAACACGAGCAGAAAAGAAACGACTCGCAATGGCCGTAAGAGAAAAAGAACTTGGAGCTCTAGGCATGAAAACCAATGCAAAAGGACAAGTTGTGACTCAAACTCCCCTGCTGAAACAAATTGGAGATTTGGTTGATGAATCTGGCTTAACATGTATCATTTGCAGAGAAGGTTATAAGTTTGAGCCAAAAAAGTTCTTGGAATTTATACATTTTCAAGAAGATGCACATTAGAAGAATTTGAAAACAAACCAAGAAAACAGCAAGGGTATTCTACTGTTTCACACTTCAATGTTGTTCATTATGATTGTCATACATCAGCGGTTCGTGCAGCAAGAGGACGCGAGGAATGGGAATCTGCAATGCTGCAGAATGCCAATACTAAATGCAATGGTCTTCTCCCATTATGGGGACCACATGTTCTAGAGTCAGCTTTTGCTACTTGTTTGGCACGTCATAACACATATTTGCAGGTAATTTTTTTCTTTTTGTACGAGTCAATCGATGAATTGTTAAATCCCAAATATTTTTGTGATTTAATGTTTTATATAAAAGAATACCACTCTCAAAGTGTAAAAACTTATTCAAAAATAAATGTATGAATAGGATTGGCTAAAAGAAATATCTTTCAATTTCAGATTTTTCGCATCTTTGAGAAAAAAAATATGTCAAAAGTTAAAAAATTATTTTTTTAAAGATATATTGCCACACATACTGCATGCTTCTTAACACACTTTTGACTTTGAACTTACAATATACCAAAGACAACTAAATGATCAATGGGAACTTATCCAAAAAACATTTTTGGATAATAAGCACAGCAATGCATGAAAATCTACCTATACCATAATATTTCTTGTTTGCAATTTATTAAGTATCTAGTTATGTATTGTTGTAATTGTAATCCAGTACTTATTTTGTTATTCAGGAAGCAACTGGTTACAAAGAACCTAATGTTACCAGCACGGTTCATGACTTGAAGTTACTTTTCCTTCGCTTTGCAAATGAAAGATCTTTCAGTGAAGAGACCGGCGGGGGTGGACCACAGTCTAATATTCACTTGATTCCGTATATTCTTCACATGTCCCAGTATGTGATTAATACCACACGAAGTTCACCTAGAGAGGAGCGTATGGTTTCACTCTTCTTAGAAGCTCCAAAGGAATCATGGGTAGAAAGCAGTTACAGTGTTGATGGCCCGTTGTACATCACGGCCCTCTGCTTGTTTGTCTGTGACAAGGAAAAGTGGATGTCAAACAGATTTTTGTTCCTAAAGAGATTATTGGCTTTATGTCAGACTCGACAATCTTCGGCTTCGATTATAAATAAACTGACTGATTGTGTTGTGAAACCATTCGACACATATAAGCCATTCTTACTCTTTTGGGCCATGGTAGATCTCACTTATACTGAATTATTCAAACATGTACCAAAAGTGGAAGGATCTGATACATGGTCACAGACTCTACAAAATTATATTCGTAACAACGATTCCGCTTTGCAAGAAACTTCAGAAAAAATGATGTCAAAATTTCAACAAGAATTTCTATCAATTGCTTCATTGGAAGAGTTCGTCGATGTTGCAGGACTGCATGAAGATGTGGATGGAGATGTTCAAGTATTTATGAAGGAGTTGTTTGAATCCCTGCCTAAGTGATTTTGGACATCGATATATGTATATCTTATGCTTTTTGTGATGCTTTATTTAATCAGATAATGTTTATACTTATATTGACAGTTTCAGCCTATACTTGATAAAGTTTCTTATTTTCACATTTGGCAAACAATCCAAAAAATCATTTCACCTTATTGAAAATTTCTAAATGCGAGATTTCAGTTTTTCCGAATTGGCAAAAACTTCAAGCTTTTTTTATAATATTATTCTAAAACATTAGACAATTATTCTGGGTATAATGGGGTATGAAAAAACAATTTTATTTTGTCAGTCAGTTGTCTGTATTATTTGATGATACAGTGGAAGGGTTTTAATCCAAAATGTCCTTCAATGAGTGATTATTCGGCGCTGACAAAAGGATTATCACGAATCACTTACTTCACATGTTTAGCATTTTGATTTAACTTTTGATATTTAAAGTTCCCTGTGTTATCAAATGATTGACAATGTTTTTCTTTTAAACCACTGATTTGCTTGTTGTTTTTTATTTGCTCTCTGTGCTGTGAAAATGTTCTATGTTCTAAGCCTGGTTTGCTGTAAAAGTTAGGGATATCCAACCATTGAATGATGTATTCGGATTGCATATTAAAAACTTTTTCTATTTTTCAGTTGAACTGTCTTGTCAGAGTCAGTCCTTCCACTATAGTCCAAAAGTTGGAACTTTGTTCTTTTTCTTTGTTACAGTTTGTTTCCTAACCTTTTTGTAATGATTTGCTATTCTATTCAGATTTGAAAATTGTAGTAGGCCTATATTTTAAGTTAAATCGATTGAAGGTACCCAAATGAAAATCGCATAAACATCATGATTTGTACAAATTTGTTGTACAGCGGTAAAATACTTTTAGAACGACTAGTGAAATTTTTCAACCTAGATGCTAAGGACACCCATGCTTGCTTTGATATAATTGTGTGTTTTTTAGATTTATTCCAGTCAAATGCATGGTGTTTTTTCTTTGAATGATGTCATATCTTAAAACTCTTTTAAATGGCTTGAAGTTTCTTTCTGCAAAGTTCATGTTAAGATAAGCATACAATTTCTTAAATAGTTAACTTTCCCGATCAATTTTGTACATACATTGCTTTCAAAAATGTTGTTGATTATATATACGATTCCGACCTTGTCAAGCTCAATAAAATGTGGTTTATGATTTGTTAAGTCTCGTATTACGTTATATGTAAGCCTGATTTCATATTTATGCAGTTTGTCTGATATAAAATATACACCCGTGCAGCTTGTTTGTGAATGCTCTTTCAATACAGGGAATGCTCAGATCTTATATATTTTAGTAATTGAAAAACTCAGTCCTGTAACGAGTTTGAATCCTCTTTTTGTCACGATGGAGAAATCGATTACATATTGTGAGGGTATGATGTCATAATTACCAATAGAATGGGAAAGTTGGTGAGACGTGAAAATTACATATGCCGGTTATTCCCTTTCAGCTTCTTCGCTGTATTGGCTGATGTCAAGCGACGACGCTCAGGAGTTATCAAGGACATAAATGCATGATCGTCAACATACTAACCAAAAAGAGCTCAGTCGGTTTCAACATGAACGTTTCAAACGATCACTGTCAAGATATGGCCCCTTTCATCGCTGGGCTCGCTCTTGCTGCCTCACCTCCCAGATTCCAGTATTTTGTCGCCTTTCTGTATCCAGTGAGCTATTGATAGTGGCAATCTCGGCGCAGTGCAGGGATACTGTTATTCCGCGTTGCAGGTTTACTGGCCACTTTGCTGAAAGCTGTGACACTTTCCGTAAAAAATAAGAGTACATAAAGTCAAAAGGTCCTGCCTTTTCTGCAAGTTCGGCGGGGTGGCGCATCGTGCTAAGCGTCAGGAATACGCTCGCCACCGCATCTCTCACCGATGGCCGGTTACGGCTTCCACCACCATCAAGTCTATGCTTCCGAAAACAAATAAATGGCTAATTAATCCCATACCCGACCTGGACTGGTAACCGGACGAAAGAACGCGGTTCGCCATATGATTAAACCGTCATATCTACTTTCCTCTCCCAGGATAAATATGTAAATGCTATCCTAGTTGTGACAGTGTACATTTACCCCTTGGCCTAGTGCTGAAAGTTTTGGCGAATTAACAAAGCTAGATTATCAACTCTGCTGGTTGTAAAATCTATACGATTTGCCAGGTAATACGAAGTTGGATTAGGGTTGCCAACCGTCCTTTATTTCAAAGGACAATCCTTTATTTGAGATTTTTGTCCTTGTCTCTTTTTTAAGATGATAATTGTCCTTTATTTTTTCCAACGTCGTTTTGCCCGATTTTTATAGAACTGTGTTTGATATTGTTCCGTTCTTTAATCGCCTTCGTTTATGTATTTGCAAGCTTTTAATTATTCTTTTTAATTTCGCTTTGGTCCGGCTCAAATAGCCAAAGAAATACCAATTTTATTAACATTTTAAATATTTTACATTAATTTTCCGAAGATGGCAAGTGGCAACACTCTAAGATTCGAGTAAATTCTAGTTCAATAACTGGAAATTCTACGTATCACAATCCAATAATGCTGTTTTTGTAAACGCTTGTGTAATCATAGTATGTTATAAAATTATCTAGTTTAGAACTAAAACCGACGAGATATAAATACGCTCGCTATGAAACTGATATTTTGCTGTAGAGCTGTGTGAAGTCTAAGTTATTTAACGCATTGTTTAATGTTCATTGACAGCTTCCTATAGGTGTCGGGAAGTAGGAGTTTGGAAAGTTCCTAAACGTGACTTCTAGACGCTCGAAGTATGTTCTCGGCGAGCATACATTTATAAGAGGCGTTGAAAAAAGAAGAACAAATGTCGATTAATTTCAAATTATTTCTGGCGGAAGTAACAGATATAATTGAGTTTAAAACAACTGTATCTGTAACAACTGTACAACAACATCGTCTTTTAATTAAAATTAAATTTACGTTTATCGTTTTAGTAATAACTTCATTGAATGCTTTGTTCAGTATTTCAATATTAATTTTTTAATGAAAATCATGGAACCCCCCAATAAAGATAAAGAAGCGTGTGTGTTCATTTAATAAAGACTGGAAAATGACTATGATTGGTTGAGAGATACTAGTAATCCACAAAAGGCAAAATGTATCACTTGTGAAAGTGTTTTTACTATTGCATACGTGGGTGCTCCAGCAGTAGCACAACATGCAAAATCAGCCTGTCACAAAATGAGAACCATGGATTTTGCCTCATCTTCTGTGATGAATGAATTTTTTCTGGAAAAAAATTCAGAGAAAGAGGATATTGTAGTTGCTTCATAAATAGCTCAGATATATCACGCACTTAAGCATAGTCATTCATATAACTCGCTGAATTGTGGATTGAAACCGACGATTAACATACCGATTGAAACTGAATTCAAAAATTTACAAGGATTCAAAAGTTGCTGCCAAAGTATCCTGTGGTCGAACCAAATACCAAATGTGCTAGGTGAGAAGGCATTAGCAGTCATTATGGACAATTTGAAACAACATGATTCTTCGCTATTTTTTGGCATTCAAACTGATGATTCAAATCACAAAAACATGAAAATCTTCTTTGTTTTCCAGTCTGTGTTCAGTATTTTAGCTTGGAACATGGCAAACTTACTTAAATTATTGATTTCTTCGAGAATGCAGATGAAAGTGCGGATGGAATGTTTACTTGTTCGAAAAACACTATGGACAATTTACAACTTGACTGGAAAAGAGTTTCTTGTTTAAGTGCATATAACACAAATTGCAACTTTGGAGAAAAACATTTTCTTTATACTAATGTTCGCACACTAAATGATGGTATCATTATAGCTGAAATTGTTTTATAGTGTTCTTTCCTGCAAATTACAAAATAAAAGATGACGGTAATCTATGTCCTTTATTGAGACTTTTCATAGTTGGCAACCCTTAGTTGGATATTCGAAGACGCACCACACTGAATCTAATGTAATGAAATGTTGTGACCTGGACTGGACACTAGCTTTTGGTAGGCGGAGCAGGTAGCATTTTTGTCTCCGTGAAGTGCGATGGCATCACTGGTTGCGACTCTTGACCCAGATGACCGCATTGTCGTGGACTTCGTAGTCTCAGAAATTCTGTTTTATTAATCTCCTCGGTTTGGATTTGCTGGTCATAGGCTAGTTTTCGCAGTTATCAAAACTAAGTATATATATATATATATATATATAATACTGTAAAGACCCTTGCCAGGTATCCCCGGAACCTATCTTGTTTTTCCACTCGAATCTTGTTTTCTGGATGCCTATGTTCTCGTTTTACCCACTGGAGCGCTGTTATTGTTGAACCTTCAATTTAACTGCCATCGACTGTTTTCATGTTGCAGCCAAGCAATTATGGTAAACATTGACGTAGCTGTTTTCGGTTTGGTACGAGGATAATTGGACACGAAATGGATGGATGGATCGTTTTTTATTATGTGTTGTTGAAAAATCGCTTTTCTCTAACTACTAGTAAACCAATTGCTTTAAAATTTCCAGTTGTTGTTGATAGGAGGCAATTATTTTTACTTATATTAAAATTTTCTGTGGGCTGTATTGGATTCGTTTTTTACTTTGAATTTTTGTGTGATGATGTCATCAAAATTAAAAATCGTCATAATCTGCTATATATATATATCACAGTTCGTATCTTTTTTCGCTTGTTGGTCACGAACAATCGATGTCGGAAAATCACATTCTAGTGATGGAGACATTGATGATTGATTGTACTAATACATAATCAACCCCCGTATTTGACAAATGACAGTATATATCACGACGCTGTTAGACAGACGATGATGAATTCTTAGACCGATAGCATAATGAGCCAAACGATCTGATAGCCGGCTAAATAGTTTCTAATGTTTTGTCTTAGAATATAAAATGATACAGCTCACATTAACTTAACAACTTAAGAAATCCCGGCTAATAAAGACCGGTCACTGAAGACCATTAGTGCAACATAGGTTTGAGGACAAGTCACAGCTGGATACAAAAACACGCGCACAAAATAAGGTGTCATGATGACATAGCATTTGGTCATTAGGCAACTGTGTCACATCGTTAGCATTTTCGATAACAGTCGAAAAATAGTTTGAAGGAAATGAAAACTGAACAACTTACATAATTACTTTTAGCCCTTTCAAACTGTAGCCGAAATCGGAAAAATGTGGTAAACAGGGATATGTTAAAGTATTAATTTTGTTCACGCGTATTCCAAGACCATGTTACTGGTATAGTTGACCCGTTATCTTAAACTCCTACGCTTCATCTTCATTCAGCACAAACCTATGGCTTGGTAGTTTTCCATTATCAGCTTATTGTGGTGAAAACTGTTACTGATATCCGGATCACTGTGTCTAAAGCACTCTACGTGAAATAAGAAAAAAACTGAGAACATTATCCAAAGTCAATCTTAGCAGTTGATTGAAATATTTCCAAAATTTTCAAATATAGTTAAATGCACATTATTGATAGCTCGGCAAATATATATATATATATATCCAATCAGTTGATTAATTATCTATCGAGTAATTCAAAATAATATGTAACTTCTCCGTCCGTTTGAAAATGTGAAAATCTTAGATTTTGAAAATTGAAGTCATATTGGTCCATCGCCATCTTTTTCTAAGATTCTTGAAAAATAGTGCATAACTGGATATCGAATTACCTTGAAAGCAACAAACATCTTTTTACTAGCCTACTCGGTTGCTAAGCCACACATGTTTCCATGCACAATTTTCCAAAGATTTTTAGTTCAAGCAGTATGTATGATGTCATGCTATTTTTTGACATTTCTAAAGCCTTTAATACAATGACCATTCTATTCTTATGGGCAAACTATCACACATCCTGTAATCAGAGGTGTGGCGTCGTTTCATTGGGTAAGACATTACTTGGCAATTGGCGTCGAATGCATTGAATGGTGGCATTCAACTCGAACCCCTTATGTTTCCTTCCACAACTTTCCTCAAAATAGGGACGGGTACTATTACCTTGTTAGGCTGACCTTCGAGCACTTGCTCGTCTAAATAAGTTGGTTTGAGTCACCCACCGGTGGCGTATTGTTCGCCGTGGTGGTAACGCACAATTCATTCAAGTTTCAATTCGCCAATGGTCGCAATAGCATAATTCAATGACATTGAATAATCAAACAATGTTTTTGAATTCAACATGGTTTCTTCCGTTTCAATTTTGCTAGCAAAAAAATTTCTAACGCAATGATTGATAGAACTCTTGATAGA